GGGAAATTGGAAGTGGTCACATAGGAGATGGCAAGAGTGAACATCAACATTTTAGGAATCAACGAACTAAAATGGACTGGAACAGGTGAATTTAACTCAGATGACCATTATATCTACTACTGTGGGCAAGAATCCCTTAGAAGAAATGGAGTAGCCATCATAGTCAACAGAAGAGTCTGAAATGCAATACTTGGATGCAATCTCAAAAATGACAGAATGATCTCTGTTTGTTTCTAAGGCAAGCCATTCAGTATCACAGTAATCCAAGTCTATGCCCTGACCAGTAATACTGAAGAAATTGAAGTTGAATGGTTCTATGAAGACCTACAAGACCTTCTAGAACTAACACCCAAATAAGATGTCCTTTTCATTATATGGGACTGGAATGCAAAAGTAGGAAGTCAAGAAATACCTGGAGTAACTGGCAAATTTGGCCTTGGAGTATAGAATGAAGCAGGGTAAAGGCTAATAGAGTTTTGCCAAGAGAATGCACTGGTCATAGCAAACACCCTCTTCCAATAGCACAAGAGAAGACTCTACACATGGACATCACCAGATGGTCAATACCGAAATCAGATTGATTGTATTCTTTGCAGCCAAAGATGGAGAAGCTCCATACAGTCAGCAAAAACAAGACTGGGAGCTGACTGTGGCCTAGATCATGAACTCCTTATTGCCAAATTCAGACTTAAATTGAAGAAAGTAGGGAAAACCACTAGACCATTCAGGTATGACCTAAATCAAATCCCTTATGATTATACAGTGGAAGTGAGAAATAGATTCAAGAGATTAGATGTGATAGAGTGCCTGAAGAACTATGGATGGAGGTTCATGACATTGTACAGGAGACAGGGATCAAGGCCATCCCCAAGAAAAAGAAATGCAAAAAGGCAAAATGGTTGTATGAGGAGGCCTTACAAATAGCTGTGAAAAGAAAAGAAGCAAAGGATACAAGGAAAGATAAATCCATCTGAACGCAGAGTTCCAAAGAATAGCAAGGAGAGATAAGAAATCCTTCTAAAGTGATCAGTGCAAAGAAATAGAGGAAAACAATAGAATGGGAAAGACTAGAGATCTCTTCAAGAAAATGAGAGATAACAAGGGATCATTTCATGCAAAGATGGGCACAATAAAGGAGAGAAATGGTCTCGACCTAGCAGAAGCAGAAGATGTTAAGAAGAGGTGGCAAGAATACACAGAAGAACTATACAAAAAATATCTTCATGACCCAGATATTCATGAAGGTGTGATCACATACCTAGAGCCAGACATCCTGGAATGCAAAGTCAAGTGGGCCTTAGGAAGCGTCACTACGAACAAAGCTAATGGAGGTGATGGAATTCCAGTTGAGCTGTTTAAAATCTTAAATGATGATGCTGTGAAAGGGCTGCACTCAATAGGCCAGCAAATTGGGAACTCAGCAGTGGCCACAGGACTGGAAAAGGTCAGTTTTCATTCCAATCCCAAAGAAAGGCAATGCCAAAGAATGCTCAAACTACCGCACAATTGCATTCATCTCATATGCTAGTAAAGTAATGCTCAAAATTCTCCAAGCCAGGCTTCAACAGTATGTGAACCGTGAACTTCCAGATGTTCAAGCTGGATTTAGAAAAGGCAGAGGAACCAGAGATCAAATTGCCAACTTCCGCTGGATCATCAAAAAAGCAAGAGAGTTCCAGAAAAACATCTATTCTTTATTGACTATGCCAAAGCCTTTGATTGTGTGTATCACAACAACTGTGGAAAATTCTGAGAGAGATGGGAAATACAGATTTCTCCTCCTGAGAAACCTGTATGCAGGTCAGGAAGCAACAGTTAGAACTGGGACATGGAACAGACTGGTTCCAAATCAGGAAAGGAGTATTTCAAGGCTGTATACTGTCACCCTGCTTATTTGTGTTATATGCAGAGTATATCACGAGAAACACTGGGCTTGATGAAGCACAAGCTGGAATCAAGACTGCCAGGAGAAATATCAGTAGCCTCATCCTTATGGCAGAAAGTGAAGAACTAAAGAGCCTCTTGATGAAAGTGAAAGAGGAGAGTGAAAAAGGTGGCTTAAAACTCAACATTCAGAATGGCATCTGGTCCCATCACTTCATGGCAAATAAATGGGGAAGCAATGGAAACAGTGACAGACTTTATTTTTTTGGTCTCCAAAATCACTGCAGATGGCAACTGCAGCCATGAAATTAAAAGATGCTTGCTCCTTGGAAGAAAAGTTATGACCAATTTAGACAGCATATTAAAAAGCAGAGACATTTCTTTGCCCACAAAGGTCTGTCTAGTCAAAGCTATGGTTTTCCCAGTAGTCATGGATGGATGTGAGAGTTGGACTATAAAGAAAGCTGAGCACCGAAGAATTGATGCTTTTGCACCGTGGTGTTGGAGAAGACTCTTGAGAGTCCCTTGGACTGTGAGATCAAACCTGTCCATCTTAAAGGAAATCAGTCCTGAATATTCATTGGAAAGACTGATGCTTAAGCTGAAGCTCCAATATTTTGACCACCTATGCAAAGAACTAAGTCACTTGAAAAGATCCTGATACTGGGAAAGATTGGAGGTGGGAGGAGAAGGGAATGATAGAGGATGAGATGGCTGGATGGCATCACCAACTCAATAGACATCAGTTTGAGTAAACTCCAGGAGTTGGTGATGGACAGGGAGGGCTGGCGAGCTGCAGTCCATGGGGTTGCAAAGAGTCGGAAAGGACTGAGTGACTGAACTGAACTGAATAATCAAGAAATTCATCCATATTTTTTCTAGTACTTACTTGTTCTCATTTTTACATTCAGGTTTCTGACCTAGTTGGAATTTATCCTTTTGGACAGTGAGGGTGAAAAAATCCCATTTTTATTATTTTCCATTTGGTTATCTAGTTATGTCAACGCCACTTGTTAAAAAGTCTGTTTTTCTCACAGTTGACTCTTACTGTACCCTAAATTGCCAATGTAGTTGGGTCTATTTCTAGATTTTTCTATACTGTCCCATGGTCTGTCTGTATGATTCTCGGGTCAGTACCACACTGTTTTAATTATGGAGCATGACTTAGCCCACTACTCCCCCCACCCCCCTTCTATTTCTAGCTTTCCCTGCTTAATTGTTCTTCTGAATTGACTTTATATTCAACTCATAAACATACATACCTTTAAACATCTAAAAACATCAGCCACTCCACCCCCCACCCCCCCAGGGTTAAATATTTTTATTATCTTCAACCCTTAGAACGCGATTTCCAGACTTCCTTGTCCTTTTCCACAAATCCTAAAACCGTAAAATGTGGGACTCAGAACTGACCCCACTGGCATAAAAGTATAGAAATGACAAGCTTCCGTAGAATTATACTTCTTAGAGGGGCATCAGCGAGAACGTGGGGGCAGTACGAACACTAGGAAGCCTGGCAGGGAAAAAGTAAGCCGGAGACCGCAGAGGGCCGGGAAGGAACCTGGCCCTGCGTCGCGGCCGAGGCGGAGGGCGGTCCATCAGAGGCACCGGGAGCGGCTGGCGTCTCAGCACCTGGAGATAAAAGGGTCCAGCTCTGGGCAGGCGTGAACGGGCCACCTTCTTCCTTTCCCCCAGCCTCCGCTGAGCGTCCTCGAAACTCCCGGGCCCAGGGAATCGCGCTGTCTCTCCCACTTGCTGAGCCGTTCCGTCTCCCCCTCCTGTTATTCGGCGTCTTTGCCTTTCTCCCCGCGGCGCGCTCGACCTTAGGTTTCTTCCCTGTGGTCCCGCCCCCGCGGGCCCGGTCTCCGTAGGCGTCCGTACTTCCGCCAGGGGCCGTGTGTGATGACGTGTCTTCCAGGAGGCGCGGAGCGAAAGTGCCGGAGGCCGAGGAAGGCGAAGTTCAGTCCGAAGTTTCCGCCCCCTGAGCCGGGTCTTTTCCGAGGGAGGAAGCGGTGATAGAGAGGGGCTCCGGTGCCGTCCACCTGGGAAGCGTCGGCCGCGCTCCGCTGTCCCGTCACGATGGACTCAGTACCTGCCACGGTGCCTTCTGTTACCGCCTCCCCGAGGGACCCGGAGCTTCTGGGACCCCTGTCGGTGCTCTACGCAGCCCTGATAGCCAGGCTTCTGGAGGTGACGGCCCTCACCCTCAGCTCTGGCAGGCGGGTGGACGAGTTCTGAGCGGAGTGGGTGCCCTGACCGGGCGGAGGAGAAATAAAGTGTGTGTCAGGCCGGAGGCGGCAGGACTTTCCGGTGCTGTTTAAGGAGATGGTGGGAGTGTATTTGAGAAGGTTTTGTGGCGCTTTCATTTTTTTTTTAATTGAGTACTTATGATGTGGCAGGCAGTGTGTTGCTTTCGAGTGTACATTTCGGTCAAAATAAGCGAGTATCACGTCCCTGCGGGTCCTTTTCACTTGACCCATGACACCGTTGGGGGATGGGGTCGGTACAACAGTAAAGAGTGTAGAAAAGGAGAGGAGTGTAATGCCCTGTTTGTAATGAAACAGAATTTCTAGGAACCAGTTAAGAGCGGTCTGTCTAGACCAGTTATCGGGAACTGTCTGAAGTTTCTCAGTGTTTGTTTTTATGTAAGTAGAAAACAGGTAAGACTTAAGATCTCAGAGGAAAAGCTAATTGTTTGTGGTGTTCATTATCACTCTGGTTTTATTAGCAGCTGTAAAAGCTTCTGTAGTAATGTTTCAATTTTTTTTTAATGTGGCTTCTCAAATCATACAAATTAACAAAAAGAGAAAAAGGGTGATCCAGAGGGATTCTAGCCGTGTGTTGGACAAAATGGTGTTTTGGAGACTGTTGCAGAATGGAAATATATGCTCCACGTAAAGAGATTGAGATTTATAATGTTTAAAAAGACTTAAAGCCAATCAGGAAAGAGGAGGCTGCCAGTATCTTCTTTTCATTTAAGCAGTAGAAATAATGAAGAACGTTCAGGGGATCGCTGTCTAATGGAGACTGAATTAGATTTCTGTGGATGATTCTCTATGATGCTTTATCGTAAATTTCTTTCAGGTTTCCCACTATTTCTAATGTTTCTCTTCCAGCTCCTTGCTACATTGCCTGAGGATGTCCAGCCTGGGCCTGATTTTTATGGACTGCCATGGAAGCCTGTACTTATCACTGCCTCCTTAGGAATTGTTTCATTTGCCGTTTTCTTCTGGAGAACCGTCCTTGCTGTGAGTAAATTAATTTATATCTTTAGACTCATTTAAACAGGAATATCACTGGCCCTTTTGCTTTTCTTTTAATTACTAACTTGAACTCAAATGAATGCTTATAATCCAAGCTAACGTTATAAGATAATTCAGTGCAATCTTTGTTGGTAAAGACTTAGGTGAACAAGATGATATGTGTATAATCTCAGTGGAGAAACTTTAGTTTACAAATCAGAAGCCTTAAAAATGTTCATGTCCTTTTGTATAGTATAATACCATGTCAAGTAATCTATCCTAAAGAAATAGCCAGTCATAAATTAAAAGATATATGGGGTGTTAAAAATGGAACCATATTAATTAGAGTGAAAACTTGACAGAACCTAAATGATCTGTTGTGGGGGCAGGTTATTATCGTACATCCATATAATGAGATGTTAGGCAGCTCTTAAAATTTATGTATTTCAAAGATACTGGGGCACAGAAAATGCTCACAATTTAATGTTAAGTGGAAGAAAGCCACAACCAAGACTTTAAAGTGTAGATAAACTATTATGTAAAAGTATGTACACACAGAAGAAATGCTGCAAATGGTAAAAATATATATAAAAAATAATTTTTCAGTCTTTTTCCTCACATATATGTTTCACATATTTTCTAATTTGATCATATGCTGTTGTGTTCAGAAAATGCCTTTTAATTTGGAAATACAGATTACATAGTGTCTATAGACACCGTTAAAATTTTTATTCCTTAGAGTCCTTTCCTGTGCGTAATTTGTCTTTCATGCTTATAGGTGTATGTATTCTCGTGCAGATACATACTTAACGATTCTGTTTCACAGTCATCTAATGTAATTGGGGGAAAAATTATTCTGTATAAATGAGCTTTGCAGATGAAAAGGTTTCACTTAGCAGTTAAAGTGGCCAGAAGCACCTTTATGATGCATGCATATCTTTCTAAAATTGAGTCTTCTGATTTCCTAATTCTCTCAGTCATATCATTGTTAATAAGCTTTCTCTCCTTGCACAAGTGATTGTAAAATGATTTAAAAACAAAGGTCTTTTGCCTGGGTTGTTGTGAAGACCCCTGAAATCTCATGAGGCTTTTCCTCAGCTACAAGGAAAAAAGAGAGAATAGACAGCGAAACCATTTTCTATTTTCTAGTCTTGGTTCTCCCATCTCAAAACCTCTGACACAAGGTTATGTAGGCTTTATGTTCTAACTGCCGCCGCACAGTCTCAATATTTAGGATCTTGTTCCGTACTCTCATTGCCTGCTTCTTGCTTCTTCCTCCTTGCTTCTTTCTCCTACCTGTTGCTTTGGGTGAGAGGATAAAGGAAGCTTACTTTCTCATTAGCAAGACTGTGACATTAGAGAAATTGTTATTAATTCTGTGTTGAAACTGAATGTAGTTTCCTGTGGAGACCATCATTAAAAGTGGTGTTATTATAATAATACTGAGATATCATGGATGATTTGTGGACTGATCTGAGCATCTCATTACCATTTATGACGTTTGACAAAGGGAGTAGGTTACAGAGACATTCAGTAACACTTTTAAAAAAATTGAGTACTGCTTGTTGGATTTTATTCTTTAATTCAGTGCTGACACTAGGGGATGATTTATTTATTTATTTATTTTTTCCATGTATTTTTATTAGTTGGAGGCTAATTACTTTACAGTATTATAGTGGTTTTTGCCATACATTGACATGAATCAGCCATGGATTTACATGTGTTCCCCATCCTGATCCCCCCTCCCGCCTCCCTCTCCATCCCATCCCTCTGGGTCTTCCCAGTGCACCAGCCCTGAGCACTTGTCTCATGCATCCAACCTGGGCTGGTGATCTGTTTCACCCTTGATAGTATACTTGTTTCATTGCTGTTCTCTCAGAACATATAGGGGATGAGTTAGAAGATACTGGCTGTTATTTCTCTTGTTGCTTGTATATTTTCCTTTTGTTGTTGTTTAGTTGCTAAGTCTTGTCCGATTTTTCCCTCAGCAGTCTTTCCCCTTTTAGATTTATGACCTCCATTTTTAGGGAGTTGGGAAAATCAGATGGTCTAATTTATTAGATTTCTAAATTCACCCAGTAGCCAACTTTGATTAGGACTTGTAAGATGTTTTCTGATGGAAGAAGCATATCTTAGTTCCCTGATTATGCCTTTAATTTGTTTCCTCAGAGTCTTTTTCAGTTATCTTTGTTTCTAGATCTCATTCTGGCTATTTGAGGCTGTCAAATAAATGGTTTTGGGTAAATGAAGCATTAGTGTATTTAACAGGAAAATGTTACTTACTCCATTTCACTTTTTTTAAATTGAGGTATAATTGACAATATTACACTAGTTTCGAGTGTGTAAAATAATGGTTTGATATTTGTATATATTGCAAAATGATTGCCATAAGTCTAGTTGACAGTCCATCACCAATACATAGTTAAAAGATTTTTCCCCCTCTTGGGATGGGAACTTTTAAGAGCTGCTCTCTTAGCAGTTTTCAAATATCTAATAATCCCTTTCCATTATGGAACTTAAGTGCTCATTTACTAAGAGTTCATTTAAAGGATACATGAATGTGTCTTTCATTGCAAAAATAAGGTATTTACCTTAGTGCATTTATCCTTCAGGAACTATTATGAAGTATCACTACCAATTACATTTGAAATTTCTTTTTAGCCTTTTCCTATTTTTTAATCCTGTGGATCCTTATGCTTAATCAAACCATTGTTAAATTTTCATTTGGTTATGGTTTGACTGTTTTGTTAAGAACTATAATAATTCTATTAATAAGATGTCTTGACATCAAGCTTATTTCTTTCTCTTTTAGGTAAAGAGTAGAGTATATCAAGGTAAATATTCAGGCTTATTTTGTTATTTGTGCTATACCCTCAGTATTGATATTTGATCTGAGTTTTATGTAAGCTAAAAGTAGAAATGGTGATATCTGATCTCTGATTAATTCCTGAACATTTTACTAATCCTGGGTTGTATGCTTAGATGACAGAGTAGATGGTGATGCTAGTAGGTGAGAGGAGATGAGGTGGAACAAATTGTGAATGTAGGGAGAAGATTCAGTTTGAGCAGACTGACTTTGGATGTTGATGTAATGCAACTTATTACCTGTGAACATGTTTCTGTGCTAATTATTTATTCAGTACAGTAAATATTTATGTAGATAATTTGAGGAATAGAGATATAAGTCAGTATGCTTGCATTTTCTGTTTCTATTTTCAAATGAAATATATTTGAAGTGATCACATTTTCTGAGAAGAAAGATGTTCACAAAGGGGAAAGATACTGAGCTAAAACAATTTACTATATTTCTTCTCGTTGAAATAAATTTGAAGTGGAATCTCTTTGAAATAAGGGTTATTATATTTTTCCTTAAATTTTAATGATATGGTTATACCCTTATTGCTGTTAAACACAGATTTCTTTTTAAAAACGTAATAGTTCTGCTAAGTTCATTTACCTCAAAGTGCTGGATAACATGTCTGCTGCGGTAATTCAGTTTTTAGTTATCATGATAATTTTATGGATTTCCCACCCTTTTTAGTCACTGAACAGCAAATTTCTGAGAAGTTGAAGAATATCATGAAAGAAAACGCAGAACTTGTACAAAAATTGTCAAGTTATGAGCAGAAGGTATTATTCTTCCATTTCCTCTCCCCCTCTGTGGTTCTGTCTTATTTCCTTCTGTCTTATAGTTCAGTTATTACAGTGTTTTTAAATCATAGTTTTAAGTTTCATTATCTCCTACAAACTCGTCAAATATGAAGCAGTCATCATCCATGTCTTACTGCTTTCTTCTCTCAGGGATCTCCTATTTGAAGATAAGTTTTGATAGCACTATAATTTATGTTTCTAAAGTTTTAATGCTTTATTTTATATAGATCAAGGAATCAAAGAAACATGTTCAAGAAACCAAGAAACAAAACATGATTCTTTCTGATGAAGCAATTAAGTTTAAGGTAAAAATTTCTTCTTTTTGAGATTACATTCTAAAAACAAAAGAAAAATAATGAATGGTTGTTTTTAATCCATATTTTTGTAGGATAAAATCAAGAATCTTGAAGAAACTAATGAAATTCTGGGAGACACAGCTAAAAGTTTACGCGCTATGTTAGAGTCCGAGAGAGAACAGAATGCCAAGAATCAGGACTTGGTAAGAGTTTTGCTGTTAAGTGTTGCTATAATTTGGCTTTTGAACTATTTTGTAGGTTGGGTGAGATGAACTCTGCATTTTCCTGTGCTGTAACTAGAGTCATATTGAAAGTCAGAGAAGTGGAACCTACTTCTGTGCACATTTGTGGGATTTTAAATACTGATACCCCAAGTTACTATTTTTATGGGCCTAGAAAACATTTTTTGTCCTCTGCCCTGGGTAATTTTCACATTGCTTGGCCCTGCCCTTTGAAACATGTAGAGCAACGAAGAAATAGTTGCCCATTTATGTGGTCTTTGTACTTTGTTTTGATTTATTTTTGCATGTTTTGTTTCTAAAAATAAACTTTAAATGTTGAACAGTTTTCAGATTACATATAAGATGCAAAAATAGTAGAGAATGTTCCCGTATATTGCATACCCAGTTAAGCTTGATCACCTGACTGAGGTAGTATTTGACAGGTTTCTCTGCTATGAAATTAACCCTTTTCTCCATCCTTTGCATAGTATACTGTTTGGAAGAAAGTTACTGTGCACAACCCACAGTTAAAGTGTGAAGAGTTAGGCTCCATCTCCTTGACAAGGCAGAGTATCTTTGTAAATTTTGGAATTATTTCTGAGATTTGGCTCTTCTCCCTCAAGTGCAGTAATTTTTAGTTTAGCAAGAGAAGTTTTAAGTGACTTTGGGATTTTTTTCTTGACCACTAGGAAAATTCATTGATTTGAACTGGTTTAATTGATTTTTTTTTCCATTTTCTTTGCTTTGACTTTTTTAGTCTCATCATGTAGCACATTATGTCATAACTAGGAAAGTTTTGAATGGTATGAAATGTTTGTGTCTTCAGTATTTTCTTTCCTTATGTTTCTACATTCTTGACTTTTCTCGTAGGCCAAAATTGGATCCTCTGCTTTTACTCAGTACCTAGGGGGTAGCACTGGGATGTGTTTTGTTAATGTTTCTTCCTTTTATCATATATCCCAGTATTTCTACTGCAATCTTAAAACATTTTTGTGCCCTTTTTTTCCCCATTGCAGATATCAGAAAATAAGAAATCTATAGAGAAGTTAAAGGATGTTATCTCAGTGAATGCCTCAGAATTTTCAGAGGTAAAGCTCTACAATTCCTGCAAGATAGTAATATGATATCTTAGTATTTTGAGGAGCAAACATTGATGTGTGCTAGGAAATGCAAAAAAACAAAACCATATGAATTAATTGGGAAAGTGTAACTTTTTTGTGTGTTTTTCGTTGGAACTACTGCACTAATAGCAGTGTTTTGCATTAGGTTCAAATTGCCCTTAATGAAGCTAAACTTAGTGAAGAGAAAGTGAAGTCTGAATGCCATCGGGTTCAAGAAGAAAATGCTAGACTTAAGAAGAAGAAAGAGCAGGTAAGGAAAGTTAGCATCATAGGTTAAACTAGAAAACCAAGTATTAGCACTTCTTGGATATGTTTTTAAGAAAATGAAGTATGTATGCAGAGTTCTATTTTTAGGTATGCAAAGTATAAACTGTGCTTCCCAGATTGAGTGCATGTATACATTCTCCATCTGTTCTGGGTTTTCTCTTTTATACAATTCCCTGTAGCTATCAGAATGTTTAGTCTTTGTCTCATCCTGCACCAACCAGTTACTAACTTGAGTAGCCACAAGGGGGCGATGGATTTGCTTCTTAGACCAAAGAATTCGGTATTTATTACCCTCCTTTGAGAAGTTACTGCCTCTCTGACCAAGAGAAGGTTACATGATGTGGAGTCTTGACTTGGTAGGCAGTAAGATATGTGCCCTTCGGTTCCTACTGGAAGTGAGTTATTTGAACTGGCAACAGATTTCTGGAGGATGCAGTACACTAGACCAATGTCGTGACAGCTCTTAGGTGTTCAGTGCAGTTCTGAGTGTTGGAGCCACTCTCTCCTCTCGCTTTCCCAAAGCCGTAGCCCATGGTGACAAGCCAGAGAGGAGCTCAGCTCCCTGCTTTCCTGTCTCGTTCATGTGGTCCTGCTGCCTCCTCTGCAGAAGCTGTAATGTTTGGAAATTCATGTATTTTAACTTTTCAGTTGCAGCAAGAAATCAAAGACTGGAGTAAATCACATGCTGAGCTCAGTGAGCAAATCAGGTCGTATGAGAAGTCTCAGAAAGATCTAGAAGTGGCTCTCACTCACAAAGATGACAATATTAACGTGAGTTCATTTTCCTGAATACATGCTTAATTCTCATAAATTCTCATAAAATCTGTGCAGTTGAAATTGAGAGGCTGTTTCTAATAAATATCCTTTTGCTTGTTTTCTAGGCTTTGACTAATTGCATTACACAATTGAATCGGTTAGATTGTGAATCTGAATCTGAGGATCAAAATAAAGGAGGAAATGAATCAGATGAATTAGCAAATGGAGAAGTGGGAGGTACGATTGGTTTCTGGGCAGTTGGACCTCTTTCTGCTTTCTTGTCTTTAAGTACACTGATGCTTTTTTCAGCAGACTGAATTTCCTATTAAGGGTTACAGCTGTAGATGCCTGTCACTGAATTTGTACAGTCAGCCATCCAGATCTGTGGGTTTGCATCTGCAGATTTAGTGAACTGCATTTTGAAAATATTGGGAGGAGAAAAATTCCATAAAATTCCAAAAAGCAAAGTTTCAATTTGCTTCATGCCAGCACCTGTTTACTTAGCATTTACATTGTATAAGGTATTATAAGTAACCTAGAGGTGAAATATTTGGGAGGGTCTGTGTGGGTTATGTTCGAATGTTGTGCTATCTTATATAAAGTACTTGAGCACCATCGGTCTTGGTTTCCTGGGGGGCGGTGTGGGAAGGCAGTGCTGGGGCCAGGCTCTTGGGGCCACTGAGGGACTAGAGGTCTCTGTGCCCTGGGCCGAGTGGGACGCTAGGTTGTAGTACAGCCAGGTCTGCAGTAAACACTGACTTGGCTTTTCCATCCCACTGAGAGCTGGGTGTGTGCACTGGCGCCTGAGCAGCGTCAGCCCTGTCTCACTCCTGTCTCACTCCAGCATCCTGAACACTCTTCAGGAGGAGGAAGTTGTTTCTCAGCTGCATGTGTGCTGTATCCGTAGCTCTGTGGTTTTAGGGCCGCAACCAATTTTAAAAGTACTGAGCTGGAGGGAGCTGCAAACTCAGCAACGAGAGTGGAAGCTAAAGGGCAGCAGTGTTTACTGATGAGGGAGGTATTTCTAGACAATGCATCCCAGGTTGAATGTTGCCCATGTTGGGAGTGTTTTAAACTACACCTGGTAGTGGGTTCAAGGGGAGAGAAGAGGAGTGCGTCTTTCTAAATAAGATAATTGGGGGCAGGTAGGTCCAAGAGAGAAGAAAAGCTGTATTTCACATATCTCTTCTTGCTCAAGAACTACATGGATGTTTTTACTGTACAGACTGGGAATTCATTAATTTTTTCAATCTAACTTTGCAAATCTCTTGGAAGTCAAATAGGCTAATCAGTTCTTTTGGTTAGTTTGTTTTTTCTTTGAATGTTTGAACATGGTAATTGTTTGGGGGGAATCAAGGACATACAGTTAGTAAGGAAGGAAAGAGCAATGAAATCCTTTTGTTGGTTTTTTTTTTTTTATTAGGTGACCGGAGTGAGAAGGTGAAAAATCAGATTAAGCAGATGATGGACGTTTCTCGGGTATAATCCTTTTTATAGAGTACTTTAATCCCCTGGAGAAAGAAATGGCAACCCACTCCAGTATTCTTGCCTCAGAAATCCCACGGACAGAGGAACCTGGTGGGTTACAGTCCATGGGGTCGCAAGAGTCAGACATGACTAAGCGACTAAACCAGCACCACTCTAAGTGCCTGTGATAGTAATATTCTTACTATTAAGCATATTTAGAATTAGAGTATTTATTATTAAGAATAGTAAATATAGGACTATTTATTACCAAGAATTCTTACTTTAAGAATATTTTTCTCTTCTGCAATTTTTAGACACAGACTGCAATATCAGTAGTTGAAGAGGATCTAAAACTTTTACAGTGTAAACTCAGAGCCTCTATGTCCACTAAATGTAACCTGGAAGGTAAGTTGCTTCTTACAAAGAAATTGCTGTTGGAAAAATAAATCCTTTTTCCATCTTTTTCACCCCCTTTAATACTGCCCCCCCCCCCCCCCCCGCAGCGAGTTCTCCAGTTCTTGTGCACACACACAGAACTAATATGTTTTATCCCCTGTAGACCAAATAAAGAAATTAGAAGAGGATCGCAGCTCACTTCAGTCTGCCAAAACTGTGCTGGAAGATGAATGCAAAACACTAAGGCAGAAAGTAGAGATTCTAAATGAACTCTATCAGCAGAAGGAGATGGCTCTACAGAAGTAAGATTATCGTGCTTCGTTGCTAACAATGTTGTCATCTAACTGAATGCATGTGCTACTGTATACAATCTTGTCTTTTTTAAAGATTGTTTATTGTATTTTCTATCTATAAGTATAAATTTGGCTTTTTTCCTTTTCTACCCTGTTTCCCATAACTTGCATCTTTTTTTCCCTTTTTGACTAATTGTCAGCAATGATTGCCTGTAATTTACCTGAAGGGTGGTAGTTATTGGTACTAACAGTTGCTGTTCTGAAAGTGTTTTTTTTATGATCTGTACCCTTTCTGCAGCTCTACCACTTGTTCCACTTTTCTTTTTTGTTGTCACTTACATCCTTCTTATTGGTCTTATATTTGTTCTTCTAGTTCTTAATATGGCCTTAGTAGAATCAGTATACTATAAAAGGAGTATTTACTTATTGACAGTATTGTAAATTTTTGGACTTAATATGGTCAAATATTCAGAGTATACATATATAATATGTAAATATGGCAAGGTTATTGGGAGTTTTGAATTTAAAAATACCTGTTTGGTGTATATATTTAGGTATTAATCTTTTGAAACACATCTCAAATTAGGAGTTACGTATCTTTTGAAAGGTACACTTTTGTAGTTCATTTTAAAATTTTCTTCACAAAAATACCTGAACACTCTATGAAAGTAGTTTATTGGCGGCAGTTGCTAATTGTGTTTGTTCCTGTAGTTCACTCTTTGGTGTTTATAGCAGTCTGTGAGAAAGCTGCTTTTGCTCAGGAAATTTAATCTTTTCCAAATGCTTTGGTTACTATTGCCAGATGCCATTAAACATTGAAACCATACCACTGACTTTTTCTCTTAATTCTTTGCTCACCAAGAAATCAGTTTAGATTTTCCGAGTTCTGTTCAGGCCAGCTCTAAGCACCGGGTTTGCTTTAGACAAATACTTCTCATTTCATTATTTATTATTTTTTTTTAAAAGCAATTCTCTGCTACTAGTAGTCACTAGTAGTCATTTGAATTACCTGAATGGCAATTGCCTTTCTTTATGATACATAAAGTCAGTATGACAGGGCACTCTCTAGCATCCACTTAGTCAGCATGCCAGGGTACACATTGCACTCCACCCCCAAAGCCATTGTGTATGCTCAGACTCGAATCATCTCTTCTGACACCCCTTACCTTAACCACTCACCTGTCTCCAGTTTCTCTTATACCTCTTCCAAAGTCTACAGCTGCTGGAATAAACTTCCCAAAACACGAGTCCTTTTATATTGTCATGTGCTTAAAATCTGTCAAGGAGGCTCCATTCCTTCAGGATCAGTTTCAAACTCTTCAGCAGGCACACAGGGCACTGCCCCTTCGCCATCCTGAGCTGCCTCTCCAGGTGGATTTCCTGTGACTCCTGATGCTGCCTTACCTGCAGCCTGACCACAGTTCCTTCATGCCACTCTGAGCTTCTTTGTCATTATACATACTGCCTTTTCTGCAGTAAAAATGTCGTTTTACTTTATTTCCACCTGGCAATCTCCTGCCTATTCAAATGGTTATGTGCCTTAAAATCTTTTCTAGAGTAAGTTATGACATAAGTAGGTGAGTATTCAGAGTACTAATTTTTTTCTTATAGTGTAATTCCTTCTTTTTCCTTGTAATGTCATTCCTAATATAATGTATTTAAACCTGTTAAGGTTTAAGTCTGCATATTGATGTTTTCTTTGTATTTGGTGGCCTGTTCTGTGTTCTTTTTTCTCTTCCTTCTTTCTGTTTTTTAGGTTGTTTGAATATTTGTCAGAATTCTGCTGTTACCCTGTGTAAGCTAGGTAGTTATTAGTTGCTTTAATTGTATTCATGTAATTACTCTAAAGATGACAGCATGTATCCTAGATTTATTAAATTAATAGACATCCTGACTTAGATGCTCCTGCATTTTAATTCTTTGTATATTTGAACTCCATAAGTTGTTTTTATTGTCCACTATAGTGCTTTCCTGTCAGTAGTTACTTAATTTACAGGCATACCTCATTTTATTGTGTTTTGCTTTATCGTGCTTTGCAGATACTACATTTCTTAGAAATGAAGGTTTGTGGCAACCCTGAGTCAAGCAAGTCTGTCAGTACCATTTTTTTCAACAGCATTTGCTTACTTCATGTCTCTGTGTCATATTTTGGTAATTCTCACAGTATTTCAGACTCTTTTCATTATTACTGTATTTGCTGTGGTGATCTGTGATCAGTGATCTTTAATGTTACTATTACAAAATGATCATAAAGGCTCAGATAATGGTTACATATTTTAGCAGTAAAGTGTTCGGTAGTTAAGGCTTATATGTGGTTTTCAGACATGATGCTGTTGCACACTTTATCATAGACTACTTACAGTACAGTGTAAACAGAACTTTTATATGCACTGGGAGACTAAAAAAGTTCCAAAAGTCTCTTTCTTTCTTTGCTTTATTGTGGTGGTCTGGAACTGAACCTGTAGTATGTCTGAGGTCTGCCTGTAGTTCTTCCTTCTCCCCTGCACCTTTGCTGTCTCTCATTTGGAATCACTTTCATTCTACTTTGAAGAACATCCTTTAGTGACATATTTGGCCATTTTATCTTTGTGTGAATACATCTTTATTTTGAGTCCTTTTTCTCAGGATCTTCTGCTGACACTGGGATTTTTGAAGTTACTTAATTCCAGTACTTTAAAGATAACCAATTTCTTCCTGGTTTTAAAGTTTCTTCAAGGAATCCAGTATCACTCTTGTTTTCCCTATTCAAATGTCTCACCCTTTCCTTTGTGGTCTTTAAAGGTTATTTTGGTTTTTCAGCAGTTTTATTAGGAGCTGCCTAGGTATGGGTGTTTTTGGTTTTTATTTCTCTTCTCCTTCCACTCCCCCCCGCCCCAAGTCTGTTTTGCATTTATGTTGTTTGAGGTCATTGACACCTCCTGAATTTTGGGGTTTTTAATCCGCATATTAATTCTGTCTCATTCTCTGAGATTCCATTTAAATCTTTAAAAATTACTTCCTTCTGTGTCTCCTACATTGTCATCTGTATTTGCTTCATTCTGGATTTTTTTTCTGACCTATCTTTTAGTGTGCTAGCATCTCACTTCAGTTATCAAATCTGTTACTAAAATCATTCATTGAGTTCTTAATTTCAGTTACTGTGTTTTAGTTTTATATTTCTGATCCTTTGCTGAAATTCATAATCTTTACTTCCGTGAATATGTAAGGCACAGTTATTTTAAAGCCTGTGTAATAAATCCATTATGTGGATCCTCAATGAGTCATTTCTGTTGTCTTTCAGGTTTTAATCACAGTGTCATGTGGGGTGCCTGGGCATTTTTGATTGAGTGGAGAGCACTGTAGAGGGAATTGGAGGCCTAGGATGGTATTATTTTCCTAAAGAAAAAAAAGTTTGTTTCTAGCAGGTGGCCATTACTTTAGTCAGCAATAAAGATCATTCAGAGATGATTTAGTTCATTCAAAGGACAGACACTGCATTGTTTGGTACTCCAAGGACACAATTCTTTCTAGTCTCAACATAGCCCAAGACTTCTACTAGGACCCCCTCATTGGGACCCCTTAGCTGTGCTTTGTTTTCTGTGCACCCGGGAATCTGTGGAACTCTGTTCCGCCTCCTTGTATCTCTTCACTGTCTTCAGTGCATAGGTCAAACCTAGGGGAAAAGTGGCTTTAGATGGCAGGCTTACTTGTAATTCTGAAATTCCTTTTTTTATTGGATTGTGACCTCATGTATTAGCTTGATGCCTTCAAGCACGTTCTTTATATTTTTGTCTAATGTTCTATATATTTTGCCTAATTTTCTATTTGTCTAATGTTTTTAATGTTCTCACACATTCATTCCTGGAAGGAAAATTGTTTCTGATCTTTCTTCAAGACCCAGTTTTCTCACATCTCTTCCTGTGTCAGAGTTAGGGGGTTGTTCTGTGGTTAAGTGCATTGTTAAACTGCATTCAACAGTATACTCTATTAGTACAGGGAGAGTACTTTACGCATATTGTTTATCTTTAGCATCTTACTAGGTAACCAATATATTTTAGCCATTCATAAGACACTTGCTGAAGTATTGAATGGACAGTTAGAAAAGAATATATAACTCTTTTTCTCTGTGATTACTGTTTTTACTGTGGTTTTTCTGATTATGCTTCCTATTCAAAGAAACTAAGTTTCAAGTTTCTTTTGAATCAGAACTATAGTCAAAGAAACAGAAAGGTTAAAAAAAATAAATAGCATTTTAAAACCATTATCACATGTTGCTACCATTATAATTTGTTATATTAATATCTTGAACTTGAAAGTTAAACCAGTTTCTAGTAGGTGATACTCTGATTATGGGACAGTTTAGATTCTTTTTCTATCCAGTAGACACTGTGAATTCTGATTTTTCTCTTTCCTCTAACCACAGTTCCATTGACATAGGCAGTAGAAGTTCCACATCTGAAGTGTGGAAGTGTTCTATGGTTAATTGCACAATTAGAAAAATTTCTAAAAGGCTTTTGAGGACCATTTATCATGGTGCCAGTCTGGATTGAGAAATAGTCCTTCCAAGATTGAAACAAGAGAAGTAATTACAGGTCTTTCCATGGAAGAAATAAAGCCGTAATTATCCCCTGCTCTATCCTAATAAGCTTGATTCTATTAGGTTGATCAGCCCTGGCTCTCCATATTGAAGTAAAATGAGCTCTCATTGTCTCAAACACAAGAAACTTGCCCTTGGGGTGTAGCATTTTTTTCCATTTGTTTGTTTCATTTATTACTGAGTAGACAATTGTGAAAAGTTAGAAAATGCAAGTGTTGCCAACAGGCAGAGTTTGATTTTTATCCCTAAGTGGCAGGTGTGAATTCCTTCCTATGACTTTGTATGAATATGTTTTGGAAAGGATGGGAAGTAACCTAGGGACATTTAGACAGAATGCTGGGAAAAAAGAGAAGCACTTTCATTTGACAACTGATGTTATCTTAGGAAATTGAGTCAAGAAGAGTATGAGCGGCAAGAGAGAGAGCAGCGGCTGTCAGCTGCAGACGAGAAGGCGGTTTTGGCAGCAGAGGAAGTGAAAACCTACAAGTGAGTTGGGATTCTGAGAGCGTGTCAGTGGCTGATGAGACGACGCTAGGCTTTTTTCCAGAACAGAGCTGTTCTTACACTGTGAGAACAAAAATAGCCCCAGAGCAGAAATAAATGGTCAAAACGTTTAATTAACATGAGAAAACATAAATTTTAAGTTAACAAAGGAAAAAATGTTAAATTAACAGAAATTTCCTTACACCCAATACTAGCAAGACTGAGGGAGCTTGGTTCATGCCAGCAGTTCTGAGTGGTTTTATATTTTGGAGAAATTCTCTTTTGGAAGGCAGTTTGCTGTATGATGTATCTAAAAATCATTAAAATGATAGTAGTCATAGCTCTGGAAGATTTTCTGTGGATATAATTAAAAGAAGAAACGGCTTTCTGGAAAAAGATTTATAGCAGGATTGTTTGAGAACATATGAAGAGCAGTTAAGGAAATTACAAGTGTATCAATTCAGAATCTCCAGCTCTTAAATAATAAAGGAAATTATATAGTATTAGTTGTGATCACAGTGTGTTCCTATAACCATGCAAAATGTGTTTTTTGTATGTATGAGTGAAGTCTGAAAGGGTACAGTTGTTAAAGGGAACATGGTAAGATTGTGTAAAATTTTATTCAGTTGTACTTTAAATAATAAAAGGAAGTTTAACCCTTAGGCGGAGAATTGAAGAAATGGAGGAGGAACTACAGAAAACAGAGCGCTCATTTAAAAACCAGGTAAATTATACTGCCCTGCAGGGCAGAATTCTCTGCTATCTGATACAGATGATTACAGTAGCTGATGTAGGGAATCCTTGAACATATTTCTTGATGGCTTGTCTTTTTCAGATTGCTACTCATGAGAAGAAAGCTCACGATAACTGGGTGAGATTTTTTTTTTTTGTTTTCTTTATTTTGTGTGGTCTATCACAGCTTATTTTGGATTTTTTTCCTCCCAATAGCTCAAAGCACGTGCTGCAGAAAGAGCTATAGCTGAAGAGAAAAGAGAAGCTGCCAACTTGAGACATAAGTATGTGTTTTTAAAGCTTACATTTCCAGTATGTTTTAAAGAGTTTTTAAAGGCTGTGCCATGATATCCAGTAAGGAATTTTCTATTTCATATTTAAGTCTATTCTTTCTTTATATTCAAGATTATTGGAACTAACCCAAAAGATGGTAATGATGCAAGAAGAACCTGTGATTGTAAAACCAATGCCAGGAAGGCCCAACACACAAAACCCTCCACGGAGAGGTAGGGAGTACTTTTAAATGGCAGCAGTCTATATTTTGGTGAAAAATGTGTTTAAGTTACTTTTTATTTCTGTAATATGTGTGTAATATTTATGATGCCCTAGAAATAATTCCAAGAACTTACTAAAGAAAAAAAGGTTAAAGTGCCAACTCTTCCCTGTTGTCTGCAGGTCCCCTGAGCCAGAATGGCTCTTTTGGCCCATCTCCTGTGAGCGGTGGAGAATGCTCCCCACCGCTGACAGCAGACCCACCGGCAAGACCTCTGTCTGCTACACTTAATCGAAGAGAGATGCCTCGAAGTGAATTTGGTGAGCATTGCCATGTTACCTTGTGGTAAACTGTTTCAAGAGTTCTTTCCTTCTTTGAGAATTCTGTTGCTAATGTAGGCAACAGTTGAGAATTTGGGTCTGTCCAATATAGAGAGGGATTAATTTATCTTGGTGAGTAAATAGTCTACTTTAGATCTGCTTTAGAACAAAAAGCATTTATTTACTATTATGATACTATTATATTTATTATATGTGAACATATATGTAAACATATTTATAAACAGTATATATATAGGTATCATTGATTATTGTTTCTTTTCAGATTTTTGTTGTGAAGTATAAACCTTTTATCTTTAAATTTCTGTTGAGATCCTCTCTTGAATATTATAAAAGTAGCCTTAAAACTTTATAGTTAATGCAGTGTACATATACTTCTCATTACTTTAATATGAAATGCTATTTAAGTCTAGTTCTAATCACAAATGTGTTTATACTTGTTAAGATATAGAAGTCAGATTACATATAGACTGAAAAGTCTAAACAATTGCTGGTAGCTTGAAGTACCTGACTGGTGCTGGCGCTATTAATGTGCAGGTCTTTCAATCCAACATAGTTCTTATTTTAATTCGATAGGTTTGTGCATAAACTGTAAGTGATTTCTCCTCACATGTATTGGGAGACCTGTTTTAAATTTTGCTTTACGTAGAATTGAACCCTGACCTGTCCACAGTTGGTTTATTCTGAAAAATTCATGCAAGGGCTCTGTTACCTCTTTCTCAAGGATCAGTGGATGGGCCTCTCCCTCGATCTCGATGGGCCTCTGAGGCATCTGGGAAACCCTCTGCCTCTGGTAAGGGACCCGAGTGTGTTAACAGAGTCTCAGATTGTGAAGGAAGTGGGCGGAGGCCTTTGTAGTCCTTCAGAGCGCATATACAAGTCAGAACAAGCCTGAGTCTGCTCTCTGGCTTCCCACAGATCCAGAATCCGGCGCTGCTCCTACGGTGAACAGCAGCTCCAGAAGCTCTTCGCCCTCTAAGGTGATGGATGAGGGCAAGGTAAAATCTGCAGTCATTTTGAATTGTTATTAGGTATTTCCAGACACATTTAACTTTTTCTACAACATCCTCTCTTTGCCTCATCCATCTCCCTTTTATGTGTTCTATCTGTACCATTTCATTTATTTTTTGAAAAAGCAAACTGTTCCCCAAGAGCCTGAAGGCCCTTCAGTTCCCAGCATTCCTTCTTTGGCTGAGCATCCAGTATCAGTAAGTACTTAGAGGTTGAGAGCAACACTGCATTTTCTACTTGGTGTATTTCTAGAAAAGTTCCAAGGAGCATGACACTAATCTGCTTTGCTTAAAATTGCATGGCGATTCTGACCTTATGACCTCGAAGTGTTTCTGGGTTGCTGAAGTCTAGTTGGTTGGTTTTTACTCCTTTTTCCTGTTTTGGTTAAGTGATTGATCTCTTTAGAACATCTATTGTAAATAACCTTAAAAAAATGTGAAAAATTAATCACTCCAACACCATATGGTGTGTGCTTCAATGGTGAGAGCTCTAAAGCAAATCAGTTCATCATATATTGCATAAATTCATCATTATTATGTATTTATTTGGAAGTATGCTCTTGGAATTATGCTACTTAAGAATATCTCCAGTTGTATACTAGGCAAGCCCTGTGCTGTATTGTGAGTAATCTGAAATTACAGATTGGTAACAGAGGTTGATTGCTGTAAGTGAAATACTGAACAGTGGAAATCTTTAATTACCCATTATGCCATTTCCCAGTAACAGCCTTAAATTATGTTCACATAAGGGTCTTCTCTTGCAACTTGCATAGCTGTGACAGCTGGTGAGTCCTGTGATTATAACTCAGAGTGCTTTACTGTGTTGAAATCAAGATACATATTTTCATTATTGAGAATTTCCAACCCAGTTTGCCGTAGGGAAGTACAGGTTAGTGCTTTATAGTACAAAGGATGGCGTTACTGGGGAACGAGGGTGGCTGTTAGAGCTGTGCGTGCGGAACTCATGTGTACAAAGCACTGTCTCGGTGTGGAAATCCTTCGACTTCCAGGGCAGGACTCTAGGAGGACACATTGCCTGAGAGCTCTTTTTATCCCAGGGCAACCTGGAGAAGACCCAAGACCCCTTTGGAGTGGCAGACTTCAAAGAGAGGGGAGCCTCCTTTGACAGAGGGGAGGCAGAGGAGGAATGCAGGCTTGGAGTCAGACCTCCTGTAGTGAATTCTAACTCAGCCTCTTCTATGCTCTGTGACCTTCAGCAAATTATCTAATACTCTCTGTGCCTCTTTTCCCTCATGTTTAAAACAAGATGAGATCTTATAGCATATGAAAGGAAATTGAAGGTACTGTGTATAGTAGCTTTTATTATATGTGTGTGAAAATGGATTTTTTCATTCCTTATTGTTCTCTCTATTCTTCATATGGAAAAAGGAGCTCTTGTGGTGAAGGGAGGGAGGGGCTGCCCTAGACACAGATTATAGTGTGTGTGGTATGATGGTTTTCTCAGTTGGGAATCGCTTCTGTTAATATCCTTTGAGTCAGACTCTCTTGCTTCCTCTCTGTTTGCACATACAAGCAGTATGATTACGGTGAAGGTGTTCCTTCCTCTAACATTCTCTTAACCCGCCTGAGCTCTCAGGGGGATGGATAGGAGGGGTGGACTTCTGTTGCACTAGTTGGCTCTTTGAACAAGTGCCTGACATCTGCTTCAGTGGGTTTTAGCTCTTACGGTGTTGGTGCTTTTATCTGTTATATCCAGGTATTTCAGAACTTTCATTACTTCTGCTTTGCAGGTTAGTATGGCTGCAAAAGGGCCCCCTCCCTTTCCAGGGGCACCCCTCATGAGCTCCCCCGTGGGAGGCCCGCTCCTGCCGCCCATCCGATACGGACCACCTCCTCAGCTCTGTGGGCCTTTCGGACCTCGGCCACTTCCTCCACCCTTTGGTATGATGACTGAATGGTAGTGATGGACTTGTAAAGTGTACTCATCTTTTCATTCTAATCCTTGGTAAAATGTTAACAGTTGCTGTCACAGGGCTGTGCAGTGAAAGGGTAAAGCTGGCTGACACATTTGAACTTTTCCACCAGTTTCTTAGGACACAAGGGGTGCTGGATCATCTCCCTGTACTGAGATGGACAGGAGGAATCTCTTGTAGACAGGTGGGACTGTTCATAGAATGTCAGAAATACTACTTCTGCCTATGTTGCTTGAACATCTCTGGCTTCATACTAGGCTCTGTAGTGGATAGAATTAACTGTCCTAACTCCACGAGCTTAAGGGATCCTATAGGACACACAAACATACATTATACAACATAAAACTTGTAATCACCATAATAGAAGCATAAGCAATGGGTCACAGAGTATAAAAGGAAAGATGAAGCCATCACTACCCATCTTGGGAATAAATAGGAAGGAAGTGTTGAAGAGAAGGTAGAATGCAACAGCTAATAGGTGGAAAGCTGCTGAATTCAATTAGGTGGAGCTGACAGGCCTTTCCTGGCAGGGCAGACACCTTGATTTTGATGGCATGTGTAGGTCCATGCTGAGTGCCTGTGTGCATTTTTAATTGACACAGTAACTGGGATTTCCCTTATCAAAATTTACTTACAGTGAAACCCTTATTTCATAATCTGTCATCTTGGTATGATGCATAGTATTTTTGAGTACAAATCAAGCTCTTACGAGATATAGACAGCAGAATTGTATAATTGAAAAAAAAACACAAGCTAGGTAGAGCCATGTTGAAATCCATCCTCTTTTGCTTTGTGACTGGCTGGCCACAGGCATGTAACTTAAATTTGCTGAGCCTGTTTGCCTCATCTGTAAAGTTGGGAGCCACCACCTGACTTCCAGGGCTATGAGAAATTGATTAACATACCGGGAACTGTCTAAATTTAGGTGTGTTCATACGTAGTTACATGACTTAATTTTAATTTTTTCAGGTCCTGGTTTGCGTCCACCGCTAGGCTTAAGAGAATATGCACCAGGTGTTCCACCACCGGGAAAACGGGACCCGCCTCTTGATCCTCGAGAATTTTTACCACCAGGACATGCACCTTTTAGACCTTTAGGCTCTCTTGGCCCAAGAGAGTACTTGATTCCTGGTCCCCGATTACCACCCCCAACCCATGGGCCCCAGGATTATCCACCTTCCTCTGCTGCAAGAGACTTACCACCCTCCGGCTCCAGAGATGAGCCCCCGCCTGCCCCTCAGGGGACTAGCCAGGACTGCTCACCGGCTTTAAAACAGAGCCCATAACTGACCTTGGACATTCAGTCTGAGAGAAAGTGGACTGTGCACTATTCGTTACAGTTAAGGTTTTCATTGGCTTCAAAATCCAAAATCTGATTTTAAAAGGTTTGTTTTTAAGCTGCCCTGGCAGTGTGCATTTTTGAGCCAAACAATTAAAAAAATATCATTTCCCCCCTAAAATACAAAACCACCTTGTAAGCTGGAGCCTCCTTCCAACTTTGAAATGTGCAATAAAAAAATACCTGTGTTTTAGTTCATGTAGCATATGTTACTGCTAAATGATTTAGAATGTTGTGAAAAGTATGAACATTTCCTGTGGAAATGCTATAAGAACATGTATTTCCATTTATTATCCTATTTTTAGTGTACACCAGTTGAATATAGAGCAATGGTATTTATAAGCTTGATTTTTAAAAAATATCTGGTCGCAAAGGCTGTTACGCTAAAAATGTTTACTTAAAGATCACTAAAATTTTATCTCCCCTCTTGCTTAAGTTCTTTGTAGTAACAGTTCATAAAAATTTGGTTATTAATATTTCCCAAATGTCTGTTGATTCATTGGATTGTTTTCTCCTGAGATTTATACCATTTTGGAAACACGTAAACTCAAGCTCCCAAAACTGAAGATGGTGACCCACTGCTCAGGCATTCAACCTCAGAGTCACCGGGAAGCATCACAACTGATGCCTTCCTTCTACTTCAGAGAAGTCAGCGGGCCTATTTGGAGAGCACTCATGTGCTTTCTCATGACTCTGATTGGTTTTGACTTAAAGACTGGTTTTCTGAGTATGAGTTTACATGTAATAAGAGTTGTTTAACCTGATGTTCTGTTGCTTTTACTGTTACTATGTTAAGGGTGCGTAACAGAAAAATGAAAATGTGTTGCAACCATAAAGTAAGAAAATTTCTTTTAAAAGATGTAGAGTCTATTATTTCTCCTATCCCTTGCCACTGGCTTTCAAGGGATATGGCAAAAAAAGACCAAAGCATATATAATACTATGAGAAAGAATGATTTAAGATCATAAGACTTGTAACATGCCGTAGGTCAGCAACCATGGGCTGAACTCAGTTCTTTTCATTGACTGATACTACTAAAAAATTAATATTTGAATCCTGACACTTACATTTAAAAGTAAATAAATCTGAGAATCTAGGGATGCACCATAATTACTACACTCATTACTCTACAATGTCTTTTGAACAATATTTCTAACTCCTAACTTATCAGACACTTCAAACTCTAGTAACTACATTTTAAGAATAAGATTTCTTTAAATCAAAATTACAAAAGGTTTACATTCTTGTTCACAGCTAGATCATACTCTCCCATTCTCTCGAGTTCTATAATGTGATGAACCTAATGATATCTAGACCATGACTTGCCACCATTAAGAGTAATCCAGTAAGAATACCTTAAAAGTAAATTCTTCACTGTGAAACAAAAACTTTTTCTTAATACTGAAGTAAAAGGCCTTTAAAGAAAGACAAGTCTTACAAAATTCATGAGTATATAAGAAGTTTTTCAGGAAAAGGAAATTCCATCTCTATGTCCTATTTAATATCAAAAAGAAATTTTAAGAGGAAAACTCCATAGTTATTTTTAACCATGTAAAATAGATTAAGTCCAAATATAGCTTTTGAGTATATCGATCTCTTCAGGACACAAAATAATGGTGAATAATAATTTCAGAATTTAATATTTAAATATAGATTATACCAGTTAGGAAGATAATAAAGTAGCAAAAGTACATTAAATCTATTTTAAAAATCAAATCTGGAGTCTTTTTTTTTTTTTTTTGCCTTTACCTCTAAAGCCTTTTTTGGTGTTAATTTTATATTTCATTTTATTGAAAAATCAGTAAATTGTAGAGAAATTCTAAGTGTGGCCTGAGTGGCCCTGAACCTGCCAACACTGCTGCCTCCCAGAGCCCTCTGTTTTCTCCACTTCTTCAGCACGGCCTACACAAGCTGCCGATTGAGAGAGGGTGCAGGGGCATCATTCCTCAGCTCCATCAGACTTGGCCAGTCTCGAAAATAACATCTATTTCAGAAGTCACCTCCAGCTAACTGTTTTCTTGGCTTAGTTGCTAAAATCATCTTTTATGGAGCAGCAATATTTCAGCCTGAAAGTCTCCTATAGTTGTGGTTATTGTTCAATAACTGATTTTTTTCATTGAAAAGAATTTGTGGGATGTATTCTGTCTACTGTGTCAATTCATTTTGTTATTCAGATCTGAATTACAAAGCTAAGCTAATCACTCTGTTCCATTTGAGCTTTTTGTTAATACTGATGAGAGGCATCTGTAGTTCATCTAAACCATACTTTTGTGAATGACAGCAGATGTGACATAAATGATCACCTTGATATTCCTGTCTTAGGGTATATGAGAAAAGAGAACAATATATATCAGTTTTGCTACACTTTAATGGTAGATTTTTTTAAGGGAATATTTTTAGGTCTTGTCAGCAACATCAAACCAAAGGTACTGAGTACTCCACAGGGTACAGAGTGCTGCCAAGCACCTTAGAAAATGTGCATGATGTGGAGAAAATGTGGTTCTTGCCCCCCGAGGAGCTCACACTCTGGGTGGGGGTGGGGGTGGGCTGACAACGCACAGTCTATATAAGAGCTGCATGAACAACAAAGTAATAATTAAGGCAAACTCTTCATCCCCTCAAGATAATTGTGGGTGAAATGATTTTGAACTTAATATAATGAAGATGAGAGGCAAGACAATTTTGTTGAGAATTCTTAAATCCATGATAGTAAAGAGAACTGACTCGACAACTGAAAGTGGAGACTAGGTCTTCTGAAGTGTAACAGCTGGAACTGAATTATGGTTACTTATTTTAAAAAGCAAACATACTGAATGGTATGACTAGGCTTGTTACACTAGTTAAAAAATAGGCCAAATACTGGCACTGCATTTTGCTCATTCTAGTGTTGGTCATTTAAAATAGTGAATTTTAAATATGTGGGCTCCACATCTAACCCACAGAACGCCCACCCCAAATCTTCATGTTCTGTGTATCAAATATCCACCGTGTATGTACTATGAAAGTTTTATTTAGGCCCCATTATTAAGTCAAAAGAATGTAAATAGTCAAATTATAATAAGCTAATGACCTGCATATTTCCATATGGATGAATGTCAATATATCTAAATAGGAAATAAATGGCAATCCTATCTACCTATATAAAAAAAAAATAGAATATCTCCAGATTTGCATACTCATCACTATAGAAGAGGTATGCAGGTTTTAAGGTTTCACAATCAGTTGTCAGAAAAACAGCAGTTATTCCTGCAGTATCTCATTAGCATCTGACTCAAATTATTTTTAGATTACATGATTTAGAAGACACTATAAACCCACCAAGAATTTGTAATTATTCTGAGATGGTTTCATTAACCCTAGAATCACTATCAGAAAGAGTAACAATGTGATGTAGGAAAAAAGCTAATCAACGTGACTAAAAATATGCTCACTTTCAGAAGAACAATCTGGTCTGGAAAAATCCCAGCTACAACCTGCAAATACTCCCATGTGGGAGACTGGCCAAGGCACACGATTTCTAGGCAGGAAAACCATGAGATCGGGGTGAACTGAGGCTGTCTCTTAAGGAGCAGCCTATAAACTTCCAGACTGACCTTGGGCAGCAAAATTGGTCCCATTTCCTCTAAAGCAGTCTCATGCTCTTCTCCCCACATCAACCCAAAGTTTGACATTAACTTGGAAAGCTAAAGAGCATATTGGAGCAGAAGTGGACAGGTGTGTAAACTCTAGCACATTCTTATTGCTGTATTACATTTGAAGACGAGCACATCCCACCCACAACAGTGTTGTTCCAGGAAGTAGGGTGGGAGTAGTGGTAAATTAGAAAAGAGACTATTAATTGCACAATTAATAGGAAAGTGAAAACATTTCAAGATCTACAATAAGCCTGTATCCAAAGAGTCTGTTATGTCAGTGGTGCTGGACTTTGAATTCTGTGCTACAGCTTGAAATGGACTCGCTCTGGCCTGCCGGCCTGGGTCCAGGTTGCTTCCTGCCTGTTGATGGGTGCGTATGCTACGCAGAGCAGTGACGGGTTCTACGGAGTGGTGACAGTCACAGAAGTTCCAGGATACTCATGTCAGGGTCATTCCTTGTGCAAAGTTTGATGCAGATGAAGATAAAGTGGTTTCTTGGTCAATAACTGCAATTTCTTTCTTTTAAAGTCAGTGGGTTTCTTGTATCTGTAACCACAACAGAAAAACTGTTGATAAGCGATCGATTCCAAGGTATCACATACTAAGACGAGATACTAGCCACCATTCATTAGTACTCATTCTGTATGTGCATCACTTACAATTCTATTACAATTGGCCCAGGTTTAATTTCGTCCATCTCCATGAAAGCAAAACACTTGGTGCTGGTAAACCTTTTTTTAGGCTTGTAGTGTTTGAATTCAAAAAAAATAGCTGCACCTAAGGAATTAAAGCAAAACACATTAGCCACAGACAGCCCATTCTAGTGTTTCAATACATTTTCTCTGATCATCAAAGGCCAATGAACAAGCAACAACTGTCATAAACAGTCACAGCAAAGTAACCTTTGTCAAACTGATGTCTCTCTGATGATACAGCTGACTGTGTGTGTCACCCCCAAACTCTTCTGTACCTAAAGAAGGGGCATGTGTCTACGCTATCCAACTCTACAAAGGAGAGCAAAACTTTAAGCAAAACTCAAGAATGTAAATAAGTTTATCCACAGATAGAATTATAAGATATTAAGAAAACACTAAATACTACAAAAAAGAACACAGAAGATACTTGTTAAGTATGAACATTACGCATAGAAACTCATTAAGTAGAAAAGACATATTAAAGAGTTCAAAAAAATCCAAACTTGGTTTCTCCCCCCAAAATAAAAACTCAAAAATTAAAAAACTCAGTTATCTGGGGTGTTTTTAAGTTTGAACAACATAAATCATGTGCTGGTTCAGTTTTTAAGTGTTAAGTATTTCCTAATACATTTTTCAGTGTCCAAAGCCGTTTTGTTTTTCCTGGAATAACAAGTCCTTCTGTAAAGATAGCACTTTCCAAGATGAAGGCATAGAAAGCAGACCTATTCCCACCCACCCCCACTAAAAAAGACACACACACAATGAGCAACTGGTGATGAAACAATTTTCTCTCCCCAAAGTCCTACAGATAAGCTCTCTCCACCTCCCTACAGAAAAACGCTAAAAACAGAATAATAAGTTGCCTCATCCACACAGCCAAAAACAATTAATTTCTAGCGAAGGCAAGGAAAGCGACAGAAGGATGCCAGGCTCTCAATTCTTAACCAACTCTTTACTAACACGGCCTTAACCAGAGGGGTGCTGGGTCTTGCTTTGCTTTTATAGACAGTCAACAGACATCTAACACTTTCACAGATGACAAAACTACCAACTGACTAGAAGTTTCACAGTGTTCAGAAATGTGTATGCAGTCCTGGGGCCTGGGTCCAAATGAAGCACTCTGCATGTCAAGGAAGGAAAGAAAAACCTATCATTTAGGAGGCAAAGGAATGGGGAGATGGGCTTGCTTATTTATTTATTTGCTGGACCACATGGCTTATGGGATCTTAGCTCCCTGACAAGGGATTGAAATCCAGGCCCCGGCAGTGAAAGTGCCAAGTCCTAACCCCTGGATCACCAGGGAACTCCCAAGGCGGCCATATTTAGCACCTACTGCCAACACACAAGGGTTACAGCTGTTAGGTTACCAGTGACCTTCTGTCCCCAGGCGCATGACTCTGCCATGTCCACAAAATAGTAGCTTCTCTTCTCCCTTCCACAGCAATAATAGAGGCATTTTATTATTAAAAAAACCTCACAGGTTTTTAAGATAGCAGATCACATTTCTTCAGCTACGGACCTATCTCCTTGTCCCTGTGATTGTGTCTGAGGTCTGAATAAATGCAAAAGTCAAGTCACATTTGAAAACATTAAAGTCCAAATATGATACCATCATTTAAAAAATTCATTATTCATCTGCATCATCTCTAGATAATATATTTCCTGCATTTCTGGTATGCACTATACTTTCTGGTATGCTCTATACTTCATGGCGTTTATAAATAAGAGCAAGATGTAAAATGAGAATAGCCTATAGAAAGAATAGCTGAAATGCCAATCAACATGAAGTATGCTCACTAGCATTAGTTTCAGTTAAAATGACAGCACTGTACACAATTGATTCAAAGTCAGAGAAAAGGAAGAGTCAAATTCTGAACATAGTTCTACTTTTAGCATCACAAACCTTTGGTTAACTTTTCAACATGCTTCTGGAGCTCAATGTCCACATTAAAATGAACATACGTATCTTCTTTTCTTGAAGCCACAGGAGTATCTTGCACAGGAGTTAAATCTATGCCATTCAGATCTGGAGAAGAAATAAAGTTTCTGCTCAGAGCCCTCAAACACACAGACTTAAAAACTGCAAAGGAACCACAATGGGCTGTGTTTCCTGAAGAGGCGAGAGCCGAGAGGAGATTCTCAGGCTGATAGAAACCCGTGTCTGGGGTGAGCAGGTACCTGAAGGGAGCTGGTTCCCCAGGTCATGTGGAGGGCACAGAGCAGAGAGGGTGGGAGACCCTGTGGGTGGAGAAGGAAGCCTCCTTACAGATCATGGAATTGGATCCTTCTGGCTAAGAGGTATCTTCTGGGGGAGTAGGCCAGTGTGTTTTTGTGATTTATATTTGGGGATGTAATACACCACAATGGTACCCCTACCCCTACTTCTCAACCTTGCCTGGGTGAAGGCATGGAAATTGAACAGTAGCAGCATTACCCTGCTGTATTCATATCAGAGGACCAAACAGTGGACACGACAGCTGCCAACGAAACCTTGCCAGGAATGAACACTTCTTATGTCTATTACTTAAATTCTGAAGCTATGTGCTACAACATAAGCTGATTTACAATAACCAGATGGCATACGATATAGGGTATATGGGTGTAATTTCTGGAGCCAGGAATCATCCAGTTTAATCAAATTCAACACAGATTCATTTAATGATCACTCAACTATTTATGTATTATTCAACAGACCCATCTTAGGGACCTTCAAACAAGAGAGTATGTTTGACTACTTCAGTTCCTGAAGATATTTACAGAAAACATGTTTCAGTTCAACCATATGCAAAGGTAATATAATATCTACATTTCATTACCTTCTTTTTTTTTTGTATTTTACAAGTGTTCATTCCTGAGAGATGCAGTTTTATGAATGGCCTATCAAATAACCTAGTGTATAAATACTTTGCAGTAGACCAGTAGATCTGAGAGCCCACAGAACCAGAGGCTAAAGCATCATAGCATCAGTGCTGAGGATCATGGTGTTTTCCTGTCAAAATTCTTCTTTGTTGCCAAAATCCTTTTTTCTTTTACTTGGTACTAATGAACCCGTGGGTCTGAATGTTTCTATGATTGGTAAGCGTTCTCTCTAGTTAATTTTAGTCCACATCTATTTGATTTGTCTTAAACTGCAGGTTTATTAAGTGTAGATTGGATTAACTGTGCAGTTATTTCTGAATAATAGTATGACAGTTTCATTCCCAGTCACCCAATAATTATATTTAAAAGACTGTTGAGTGCCTTATAAGTAAAGTGCTGTATAAAAAGCTTAGCAATGACAAAAGAATTCAACCACTGCAGTTTCCCTCTTAAACCAACGATCAAAAAAGTTGTTTTCAAGGAATAAACAGTTTGCCACTTTGAATAGTAGAAGAAAACAAATCCTAAGAGTAATCATGCTTAATGATGACAGTGACATAGTTAAGAATTAAAAAATACATTAGTTGTCTAATGTCCCGCAGGATATACTCAGGGTGTGGAGTTTCTGTACGCATCTTACTTCCCCATCTCCACTCATGATTCATTGAGGCTGATTCTCATCCACCTCTGCAGGGCTCTGTGGACAAACCTCTGGTGGGCAGGAGTGAGAGGGCCTGAAGTGGAGGCAGAGGAAAACAGGGAACACTGGGCCTTGCAAGGACCACCACGCGTCCTCGAAAGTGGGGGACCTCTCTCTAACCTGTTTCCTGAAGGACGTATCTACTATAAAAGACAGTGGTGTCTGTGTGGTCAGCACCCCTGATGGGATTTGGAAGAACAAAAAGACATACACAGAGAAAAAACCCAAAGCAACTGTGAGTATAAGTTATGGATAAGAAAATATTTTCCATAAATGTCTGAGAAATGTTTGGAGAAGGAATGATGACCACATCCTCCCAGGATTTTGCCTCAGTATAAAATGAACTAAAATGAACTGTCACAGACAAAACCCCCTCACAAACCCCCAAAAAGCCCCAAACGAGAAGCAACATTTTAAAATTCACCAGAGAGAAGACAGGTACATGCAGTTACTGACCTTTAACACTAACTGTGATATAGGGATCAATGCACTGCCCAGCATCTTTCAGGCCAATTTTCTCAATCCTGATAGTGAGTAACGTCATTCCTGGTTCTGATGGCAACCTTGGTAATAAAGTACCTGGCAACAGAGAAACAGCAATAAAAATGAGTTCCACCAATAATTCCAGGGTAAATATTTTAACAACATAGAGAAGATATTGCTTTGCTCTTAATTGGCTTAGTAACTAGGCAGGCATTATTCTGGTTACCAAAACTCCCAAACACTTGATAGACAAATTCTTAATTATACATAAAATATATCTATACTTCCATACTCCATATTTAACACGAAAGCATAAATTACTAACTCAAGTTTGTTAAAAATTCCACTCCAGGAAGTTGAATTACAGATTACCATGTAATTAATAATGTATGTAATATATTCATACAATATTTACACTTCACATTTATTGCTATATATATAATATACCCCATATTTCAATGTGAAGTGGTAAAACACAAGACAGAAAAAGCGTTTTAAACATGTTACATTTTCCTAAAGCTTGAAAAATACCAGAATCAATCAACAAATCATTTACTATTAATGGAGGAAATAACTTATAACTTAATATACATTTAATTGAATAACTTGACAGTCTCATTTCCCACTGCTTTCTTCATCCTATTCTTTATGATCTATTTGGTCAGAAATCAGTCCTGCTGAGAATGTTACATAAAACCACAAGAGCAACTGTATGTTTGAAATCTTTTCCATAAATTGATTCAAGTTTTTAAAACTGAAAATCCACCCAGAATCACGTAAGAGCATTCCCCACCGAGAAAATATGAAGAAAGAAATCACCTGTACAGTTTGTTCATTTATTTCAAATAACTGACGAACAACAAATGCAAACAAAAGTTGATTTTAATATGTATACAGTACCACAAATTATACAACCTAACATTTGTAAAGGACGTTAGCTGACATTCTTCACATTTCTATCCAACAATGTGTTATCCTGCTTTTATTTTTTTAAAGATCAACACTTTTTTCTTTGGTTGTTTTTGGCTGCGCTGGGTCTTCCCTGCTGCGTGTGGGCTTTCTTAGCTGTGGCGAGCAGGGCCTACTCTCCAGGTGCAGTGTGGGCTTCAGCAGCTGCGGTGCATGGGCTTAGGTGCTCCACGGCAAGAGAGGTCTTCCCAGACCAGGGATCAGACACGTGTCCTCTGCATTGCCAGGCAGATTCTTAACCAGCGGACCACCTGGGAAGTCCTATCCTACTTTTAATGATTAAGTATTTGAAGTACATGAATCAATCAATTTACCACATTCAAAATACATTTAGTGATGGCAAACATGCTTGAGGGAACTTTAGAGGGCAACGAAAATGTTCTCAAATTGGAGCAAACTGATAGATGCACAATGCTACAGATTTATCAAGTCACTGAACTGTACACTTACAATAAGGGAATTTTATGACATGAAAATTACTATAGAAATCCCAGAGTCTTAACTGGTGATACTTGGTTAAAGAAAATTTTGACTAATGAAAAGGTAGAAAGATAAAAAGCAAAAAACCAAAACGGGACATTCACACCAGTATTTAATACTATTTCAGAAGTAACATTAACTTTCTCACATGGGATATTTTGCCATATTTCAACATACTTTGAATATTCACAAGTTTTCTTACACTAAAGATAAAAGGTCTTTATTGCACATACTTAACCATTCTTTAAAATTTTTTAAATTGTGAATCTAACACATATTCAGAAAAGCAAATAAAACGAGCGCACAGCTTAATGAAAAGTTGGAAAGCAAGCATCCATGTAACCACCACTGAGGTCAAAAAATAAAACATGACCTCAGGAGCTCCCTTCTCTCCCCATCAAATGTTCTTTTGAATTCCTCCTCACCACACTGGCCTTTAAAAATCACTACTAAAAAGCATCCCTGTATAATTATGTTTTGCCTGCTTTGGAACTTTAGATTTATCAAACTGTTGTCAGTAGCTGTAATTTGTTCATTTTTATAACTGTATAGTATATAAGTTGTATAAACATACCACAGTTTTTGTATCCATTCTTCTGATGATATGCATTTGAGATGCTTCAAGTTTTGGAAACTGTTAACAATGCTGCTGCTATAAACATTCTTGGACACATGTTCTGCTCCACATAAGCACACATTTCCCAAGAGAGGAATTACTGAGTCACATGGTGTAGTACCTCCACGTCTGCTATGTAATTACAAACTATTTTCCAAAATGGGTATGCCAATTTCTACTCCTAGTACAATTCCCATTGTTCCACATCCTCACTAATGCTTGGAGTTGTCAGATTCTTTTTAGCCAATTCAGGTGTGGAGAAACACCAATTTAGTTTTTTTTTTTTTTTTTTACATTTTTTAACTGCAGTACAATTGCTTTACAATGTTGTGTGGTTTCTGCCAAACAACAACATGAATCAGCCATAATTATATATTTATCCCCTCCCCTCTGAGCCTCCCATCCCCCCACCCCTGGGTCATCACAGAGCAGCAGACTTGGCTCCCTGTGTAATACAGCAGATTCCTACCAGCTAGCTATCTATTTTACACATGACAGTATACAGATATATGTGTCAATGTTACTGTCTCAATTTGTTCCCAAACTAGTTTTAAGTATATTTTTCCAATGATTAATGAGGTTGAACACCTTTTCATTTAAAAATAAGCATTTGGATTTCCCTTTTTCTGAAGTGTCTGTTCAATTATTTTCCCCACTTTACTATTGAAATATTTACCTTTCTCTTACTGATTTGTAGTTCTCTAATATTCTGATATAAGCATTTTGTTGGATATTTTAATTTACATAATTTTTCAGTGGTTTTCCTTTTTAAGAAAAAAAAATCTTTATATTGAATGGTAATATATTCAGGAAAGATAGATTTTACCACCATCCTAGGAGCCTGACCTGTGTCCCCAACACACACCCAGATCACTCTTTCTCCCAAAGAGAAAACAGCTATTCTCGACGTTTAACACCAACATTAGTCCTACATGTTTAGAATGCCTTTTCTGTTTATTCTAAATGTTATTGTGCTCAAATCTCTCAGCCTCTAAATTCATTTATAGTCAGTGCTTTCTGTGTCCTATTCAAGAAATCTTTCCCCTCTCCAAGGTCATGAAGGTATGCTTATAAGATGTCTTGCCATTCACATTTAATTATATAATCCAGGTAGAATTAATTTTTTACTATGGCATGTGGTAGGAGCCCAATCTCATTCAATTTTACATCGACACTCAGTTGTCCCAGCACTACTTATTTAATAGACTATCATCTTACCCATGGATCTGCATTGACAATAAATCAAATGTGGGTCTGTTTCCAGGCTCCCCATTCTTTCACTGGACTGTTTCTTATCTTTGCGTCACTACCACAAGTGTCTTGATTACTATAATTTTACAAAAGTCTCAACATTTAGTAAATCAAATTCTCCCACCTTGACATTATTCTTTGAGTCTTAACTACTTTCAGCCTTTTGCATGTCCATGTAAATTATAACACAAGAGCTGTCAAATTCTTAAAAAAAAAAAAGTGAACAACAAAAACACTGTTAGGACTGTGGTGAAGTTCAGCTCAATTTTAGAAACAGTCACATCTTTACAAATTGCTTCTTCCAACCCATGAAGTGGAATATATCTCTCCACTGATTTAAGACTGCTTAATTTCTCTCAATATATTTGTACTGTTTTCTTCATATGTGTTTTATACTTCTCTTGTTGGATCTATTAAATTATGTTGCTATTTTCTGATACTATTATAAATGTCAAAATATTTCATTTTCTAATCTACAAACAATAAATGCTAGAGAGAGTGTGGAGGAAAGGGAAGCCTCCAGCACTGTTGGTGGGAATGTAAATTGATACAGCCTCTATAGAGAATAGTATGGAGATTCCTTAAAAAACTAGAAATAGAACTATTATATGACCCAACTATCCCACTACTGGGCATATATCCTAAGAAAATAATAACTGAAAGAGACACATGTACCCCAGTGTTCAGTGCAGCACTATTTACAACAGCTAGGACATGGAAGCAACCTAGATGTCCACTGACAGATAAATGGATAAAGAAGCTGTGGTACATATACACAAAAGAATATTACTCAGCCATAAAAAGAACACATCTGAGTCAGTCATAATGAGGTGGATGAACCTAGAGCCTATTATACACAGTGAAGTAAGTCAGAAAGAAAAATAAATATTGTATATTAATGCATATATATGGAATCTAGAAAGATGGTATACGGATGAACCTATTTGCAGGGCAGCAATGGAGACAAAGACATAAGAGAACAGACTCATGGACACAGTGGGAGAAGGGGAGGCTGGGACGAACTGAGAAGGTAGCATGGAAACACACACATCACCACCATCTGTAAAACAGCCAGTGGGAGTCTGCTGTAGGACACAGAGTTCCACTCCTGCGCTCTGTGACCACCTAGAAGGGTGGGATGGGGAGGGAGACGGGAGGAGGTTCACGAGGGAGGAGACGTATGTACACCTATGACAGATTTATGCTGATGTATGGCAGAAACCAACACAATGCTGTAAAGCAATTATCCTCCAATTAAAAATAAATTCAAAATAAATCTCATTTTCTAAGCAACTGTTGCTTGCTTATAGACATAACATCCTTTTTTTGCTACATAATTTTCAAAAATCAAGCTATGACTGACATACATTAGTTTCAGGTACACAATGTAATGATTTGATATTTGTATATTGCAAAATGATCACATTAAGTGTACAGAATCTGTTCTTATGTACAGATTTTACATCCAGGAACTCTGTTATTATTTCTCCAATAAGCTCTGTTATTATTTCCATTGATCTCTATGCAAAAGGTGCTTTTGTATGTTCTACATACATATTCATAAAACCTACAAATAATTTTTATCTATATTTCTGTTTTTGGTCCTAGTGCACGGGCTAAGACTTCCAGAATGTTGATGGAAAGAGGATATAGTAGACACATTTTGTTCTTGATCTAAAAAGGAATGCTAAAGTACGATTTTGGCTCAAAGCATTCCTTAGAAAACATCCAGCGAAGTGTTCTGTTTTCGCCCTGCCAGAATTTTTAAAAGTCAAGAAGA